TTATTATACAATAATAATAGTTTATTGTAGAGTTGATGTATATAATTAGAACTACTGATGGAAAGATAAATGAATGCAAATGAAAGAACACAAATGAGAAGAGCAAAAAAGAACCAAACGAGAAGTCTGTAGTTGTTTCGGGTTGCATTGGATGTTTTTTGGTAAATTTTCACGTAACTCATCTCTAGAAAGTTTAATCATAGGTTGCACGGGCAAAAATATTTTATTGCTTTCTAATAATTGAGGTCCTGCCGCACATGACCAAACAACTAATTAGTTTATTTTTTAAGAAACACAGACCTGCCAACGGACTCGCACAACCTGTGTTCCCACTACCCTTATGTACCTGTGTTCCCACTACCCTTGCAACCAGTGTTCCAACTACCCACGAGGCTGCAATATATTTTCAGACCGCACACAAATTCCAAAAAAATACGTCCTGCATTGTCATCCTCACGTTTTCTTCCATATATATTTAAACACACACTCGAACAACTTTGTTCGGCTTGATATTATCGATCATGGCTAGGAGTGATGTGAAGCTTATAGGGGCATGGGCGAGCCCTTTTGTGATGAGGGCAAGAATTGCCCTTAATATTAAATCTGTGGGGTATGATTTTCTTGAGGAAACACTGGGATCCAAAAGCCAGCTTCTTCTTGAATCAAACCCTGTCCATAAGAAAATCCCAGTTATGATTCATGATGGCAAGGCCATTTGTGAATCTCTTGTGATAGTGGAGTACATTGATGAGGTTTGGTCTTCTGGACCTACCATCCTCCCCTCTGATCCTTATGATTGTGCCCTTGCTCGGTTTTGGGCTGCCTATCTCGATGAGAAGGTACCACCTCTGATATCCATCTTTAAATTTCTAGATTCATTATTTGCGACGTTCTGATTCTGGATTTCTTTATTTTTTTGCTGTCCTGATCTTTCCCTGGCCATATTGAATATACGCAGTGGTTTCCTACGGTGAGAAGCATTGCAACAGCTAAAGAAGAGGAGGCTCCAAAGGCGTTGATAGAGCAAGTAGGAGAAGGGGTGATGATGCTAGGTGAAGGGGTGATGATGCTGGAGGATGCATTTAGCAGGTGTAGCAAAGGGAAGGGTTTCTTTGGAGGAGATCAGATCGGGTACCTTGACATTGCATTTGGTTCCTTTTTGGGGCGGTTGAGAGCCATAGAGAAGATGAATGGAGTGAAGCTGATTGATGAAACTAAGACTCCTAGCCTGTTGAAATGGGCAACTAGTTTTTCTTCACATCCTGCTGTGAAGGATGTTCTTCCAGAGACAGAGAAGCTTGTTGAGCTTGCCAAGGTTCTGGCCAAATTCAGAGCAGCCAGCTCGAACTCCTAAATAAACCATTATTGCCTTGAAGGCAACTTGAAATACTAGAAATTAAGGTTAAGTTCTTATGTAATTTGAAATACTAGAAATTAAGCTTGTTGAGGAGAAATAAATATATTACTTGCAGTGAACAATGATGGGGGCTCTAGTTACCATTTGCTCGTAATTTTGTTGCACCATTTTGCTTGAAATTAAGAGAACTTGTTGAAATAACGGTACAAAATAATCAAACATGATTGAAAAATCCTTTTATAATTTTTTGTTTTACCGAAAAAAATTCCATTTTTAATCTAAAGTCGTTTGTTCTTCTTTTAGATGTTTTATATATTTAAAAAGAATATTAAAATTTAGGAAAAACCATGCAAATTAAAATTTACCTTTTTTTTTTTCATTTTCTTATGCCTTCGAACTTAAGTTAAAACGAATAGTCTATAATTTTTATTCCTATTAAGTAAAATTAACCATGCAAATTAAAATTTGGGCATTTCACATTTTGCTTTAAAGAATTATTTTTTTAATATTTCAACTTCTATGAAAGTCAAGAGAGAAAAGAAAATGTTATTGATAGTACATATTTTGCTTATAAAATAAGATGATATTTTTGTCAATTGGTTGAGCTTTTTATAAAAAGTTAGATGAAGGTAGTTTTTCCTTTACTAATGCCCTAAAAGGTAGAGATTATAAATTGTTTTGTCGTTATAAATGATTTTTATAAAATTTTTATTGTTTTTTTATGTATTTTTTAGGTAAAAAAAATTAAAAAATAAGTTTTTGAATTGTAAAGCTTGAACTCTAATTCTTTAATAATGATAAAGGATTAGAAAATATTATAGATAATGATAAGTCATCCATCATATTAAAATTAAAATATAAAAAAAAATGATGGTGTTTCACCCACTCCATAGAAAGAAAAAATTGTTTATATCAAGTGTGTTTGGGTAGTTGATTAGATGCATAGATCTGCCCTGTAAAATCTAACAACACATGGCTATTTTTTTTTATATATTTTTTTTATATTATTTAAATATCTTCTTATTTTATGTATTTTTTATTTTTCATTAATATTTTTATCAATGATTCATTAATTAACTTCCTACTTGATGATCCGGAAAAGATCATAATGTGGATTTGATAAAATTAGATAAACCCATGATCTCTTAGTTTAGTTAGTCACTCATCAGGAACATGAATCAATAATTTTTTTTTAAAAAAAAAAATCAAAGAAAAAACTCAGCGATAAAAAGATGGGAGTCATGCAGCTGTCTACAGGGGGAAAGCAACTAATTAGCATCTTCAAGATCAGCAGAGTTGTTGGGTGGAGCCTCGTCTGCACAATCTCGCCACAGAGAGGGTGATCCATCG